CCAGCCCTCCTGCATCCTCCGTCTCCTCACGCTCCCTCCTGTCCTCCGCCTCCTCATCTTCCTCCTCTTCCTCGCCCTCTACCTCGTCGTCGTCCTCCTCGTCCTCCGCGAAGACCCGGGTGATCCCCAGAGTGCGTCCTGGATGCAGGGGCAACGTTAGGGGGGGAAGGGCTCTCCGAGAGGGACGGACTCGCCGCCCTCAGTCGCCCAGTTGTCGCCGGTAGATCCCCCAGAAGCCCACCGCGCCCAGGGCGGTCAAGAGCTGCGTTTTCCCCCCCCTCGCAGCGTTTTCCCTCCCAGCGTCTTCCCTCGCGGCGCGTTCCCTCGCGGAGCCGCCCCCCCCCCTCGCGGCGTGCTCCCTCCCTCCTGCCGCGGGCCCCTCTCTCGCGAGTGCTCACAGAGGCGCCCTCTTGTCGCCGAGCTGCCCCCTCGGAGAGCGGGGCGCTCCCCATGCGGACCAGGAGCCATCTTTCGTCCGCCTAGCTCTTGGAATTATGATGTTCTATCTCTCTATGTATTAGTTCTATTTAAGATGTTTACATATATCTATGTATTATCAAGATGGTCCGAGTGTTGGTATTTTCATCTATCTGGCACGCACGTGCGTTTAGCGAGAACCCTTCTGTGAAACCGAGCAGTCGCCCACATCCGCACATGTTTCAGTTGTTTGTCGTCAGCGCTGGGCTTTCTCGGGTCTACGAGGTAAGCTTCCGCCGCTTCGTTAATGGAGAAACGCTGCGAGACATTCTACGCCGTCCCGGGTCCCCCGGGTCAGTTCCTCTCTTTTCCCTCCCGCCCCGGGGCCGCCTGAACCTGGAATCGTAGACCCCAATCGCCCATCCATCGCCCCGACCGGGGCCTGGTCCTGAGAACTATAGCCCACAACGTTGGGACAGAAATTATCCGGTCTCGATAAGTGGGCGCCGGCGGTAAGCCGTCAACCAAGCTACCGCCGGGACCTCGTAGAGCTCCTTGCACGCATAAGAGTGCCCTCAATGCAGACGGAAAGCCTCCTAGAGCACCAGCCTGAAAATTCAAAAAACATATTCTCAAGGTTTAAACACAAACTGAGGTCCGCCGAGCGTTTTTTAAGTATTTGGAGACCTAACACAGCAACCGGTGAACGCGACAGAACCTATGACAGGTGCGCGGAATCTTCACTCCGGAAAGGAATTCTGAAAAGTCTTCTAATTTTCAGAAAATTTGCAATTTCTTTTACATATTTTTTCTTGAGGTCGGTCTCCGGAAATGAAACGGTATACATTTTCCAGATACGCCCTTGATTGATATATGAGATCCGGCGCACGCAGCATGATGTAATGCTCCGCCCAAAAATCTTGGATTGCAAAATGGCTTGTCAAATCTCTTACAATGTTCGACAAACCGAGCTCAGGTCATCACGAGCTGCATTCTGGCCCGGTCTGCAAACTAGGTCCACCCTGCCGCGGAATCCCTCTAGCTCTTGTCGAACTGAGAGCTCCACGGGGTATTATCGGCGGCCTACCTCCGATCGGTGCTCCACGTATCGATGGTGTCGTCCTGCTTGGCATCGCTCAGACGCGTGCACTTTTCTCGGCGAGGGCCATCGAGGAGTATCCTGGAACACCCCGCGAAGGATAAGCGCACGGAATCGACAGAGGCACGGGGAACGGACGCCCGAGCGGTGGGCGAGGAGCATCCCGGAGCACCTCGCGAAGGATACGTGCACGGAACCGACAGAGGCACGGGGAACGGGCGCCCGAGCGGTGGGCGAGGGGCATCCCGGACCTCCTCGCGAAGGATACGTGCACGGAACCGACAGAGGCACGGGGAACGGGCGCCCGAGCGGTGGGCGAGGGGCATCCCGGACCTCCTCGCGAAGGATACGTGCACGGAACCGACAGAGGCACGGGGAACGGGCGCCCGAGCGGTGGGCGAGGGGCATCCCGGACCTCCTCGCGAAGGATACGTGCACGGAACCGACAGAGGCACGGGGAACGGACGTCCGAGCGGTGGGCGAGGAGCATCCCGGACCTCCTCGCGAAGGAGAAGTGCACGGAACCGACAGAGGCACGGGGAGGGAGGTCCGAGCGGTGGGCGAGGAGCATCCTGGAGCACCTCGCGAAGGATACGTGCACGGAACCGACAGAGGCACGGGGAACGGACGTCCGAGCGGTGGGCGAGGAGCATCCCGGAGCACCTCGCGAAGGATACGTGCACGGAACCGACAGAGGCATGGGGAACGGGCGCCCGAGCGGTGGGCGAGGAGCATCCTGGAGCACCTCGCGAAGGATACGTGCACGAAACCGACAGAGGCATGGGGAACGGACGTCCGAGCGAGGGGCGAGGCGCATCCTGGGGCACCTCGCGAAGTGGAGGTGCACGAGATCGAAGGAGGCACGGGGAACGGACGACCGAAAGATGGGCGAGCAGCATCCGCAGCCTCGAAATCGCGGAACGCCTGCTCCTCCTCCTCCTCCTCCTCCTCCTCCTCCTCCTCCTCCTCGGCATCGCAGCAGCACGCACTTTCCTCGACGCTGGCAGCAGCATCGCAGCATTGCGGAACGCCCCGCGAAACGTAGCTGCACGAAGTCGACAGAGGCACGGGAGACGGACATCCGACCGGTGGGCGAGGGGCATCCCGGAACGCTTCGCGAAGAATAGGTGCACGCGAAGTCGACAGAGGCACGGGAAACGGACGTCCGACCGGTGGGCGGGGAGCATTTTGGATTTCTTCGCGAAGGGCAAGTGCGCAAAATCGACAGATGCACGCGGGGCGAACGTCCGTGCGACGGGCGAGGGGCACCCTGGCACACCTCGCGAAACATAAGATAAGTGCACGAAATCGACGGAGACACGGGGCGCTGACGTCCGAGCGATCGGCGAGGGGCATCCTGGGACACCTCGCGGAGAAGAAGTGCACGAAATCGACGGAGACACGGGGCGCGGACGTCCGGGCGATCGGCGAGGGGCATCTTGGAGTACCTCGCGAAGAATCAGAGCGACATCGGCAGAGGCACGGGGAACCGTCCGAACTGTGGACGGGGAACACCCAGCGAAGAATAAATGCACGAAGTCGACAGGCACGGGAAACACACGGACGTCCGAGCGATGTGCGAGGAACATGTTGGAGCATTTCGCGAAGAACAAAGAAACAAAATCGACAGAGGCACGGGGCGAGGGCGTCTGAGCGATGGGCGAGGAGCATCCTGGGACACCTCGCGAAGATTAAGTGCGTCGACGGAGGCGCGGGATACGGACGCCCGAGCGGTAGGCGAGAAGCATCTGGGAACACCTCGCGAAACAACAGTGCGCGAAATCGACAGGGAGGAACGGGAAACGGACGTCCGAGCGATGGGCGAGGAGCATCCTGGAGCACCTCGCGAAGAAGAGTACACGACATCGACAGAGGCACGGAAAACGGGCGGCCGCGCGGGGGGCGAGGGGCATCTTGGAGCACCCCGCGAGAATGGCGGCGAGAGGCGCGGGGCGCCGACGTCCGAGCGATGGGCGCGGGGCATCCTGCGAAGAAGTCGACGGAGGCACGAGGCGCGGGCGACCGAGCGGTGGGCGAGGAGCATCCTGGACCACCTCGCGAAGAAGAAAAAGAAGAAGAAGAAGAAGAAGAAGAAGAAGAAGAAGAAGAAGAAGAAGCGCGCGAACTCGACGAAGGCGCGGGGCGAAGGGCATTTTGGCACGCCTCGCCAAGAATACTTGCACGATTTCGACGGAGGCACGGGGCGCGGGCGTCCGAGCGGCGGGCGAGGGGCATCCTGGAACACCTCGCGAAACACAAGTGCACGAAAAATCGGCAAGAGGCGCGGGGCACGGGCGTCCGGGCGGTGGGCGCGGGGCATCCCGGGCCACCTCGCGAGACAGAAGTGCACGGAGTCGACAGAGGCACGGGGAACGGACGTCCGAGCGGTGGGCGAGGAGCACATCGCGCAGAAGAAGTGCACGAAGTCGACAGAGGCGCGGGGCGCGGGGCTCCGCGCGGTGGGCGAGGAGCATCGTGGAACACTTCGCGAAGAATCAGCGCACGAAATCTGCAGAGGCGCGGGGCGCGGACGTCCAAGCGGTGGGAGCAGAGCATCCTGGAACCCCGAAGGAGAACTGCACGAAATCGACAAAGGCACGGGGCGCGGACGTCCGAGCGGTGGGCGAGAAGGAAGCATCCTAGAACACCTCGCGAAGAATAGGTGCACGAAATCGACAGAGGCACGGGGCCGCCGTTGGCGTTCAACATTGAGCGCCGCCGGCGACCCAGAATCCGCCGAAATTGAACGATCTGATGTTTCGAAAACAGCCGATCGTTGAAGGCTGGACGATCCCCTTAGTGTCAGAAACCACCGGCGGAGTCGGCACGACGCGAACCTGTCGTACGACCCGTGCACGGGGAGACATGAGCGGGGAAGAAGGCAGAAGGGTGGAACGACGTAGCGGGCGGCTCTCCGGGACTGTGCTGGCATCCCTTGCATCACGCCACAACGTGCAGTTTCCCTTGTCTCCCCAGGTCTCCTGCCAAATTGTATTGGTTTTTGCTTTTCGTCGTCGTCGTCGCCCTCCCTCATTCCCCGTGAATTGTCACGCTAATGAGTCGCACCGGGGTCCAAAGTGCATCTTGGGCCCCTGGCCCAACCGCCCTGCTTTTATAGGGCCGCACCTCTGTTCGTATGTCGGCGCCTCGCCTCGCCTCGCCACCACACTTTACGGGAAAATAGTAATTCAGCCCATACAGTGCAGGCCCATGCCAAGAAACACCCTGCTTACCTCCAGGGTGTCCTGGGTTTCTTGGGTTTCGATGGTTTTGCGATGGAGAGCGCGACGTTCCCACGCAAATAATCAATGGACGTCCTGGGAACTCAGGGTTTGGTTTCTTGTGGAAGGTATCTTGTGGACTGGCCTCCAACGTTACTCAGCCCATATCCAGCTGCCCCCAGGTAACGCCCACGACGGCCCCAAGAGGACCCTTGGATGGCCTGGAGAGGGCTATGGGACACCAGTGACCGAGGAAGCCGCCAAGATGGCCCCGAGGGCCCAAGACAACCCAAGAGGTGCCCAAGATGCTCCCAAAGAGCCGCAGCCATTTGTCCAGTGGAGGTGTCCAGTTTGATATCGTGTCTGATTCCTGTCTGAACAGCTCCCCGCCGCCATGTTCTGCGCCATGTTTCAGGATGGTGGGGCGGCTCTCGCCGAGCAAGGGACGGGGAAGGTGGCGCGCGCTGAGCCGGACGGGATCAGCTTGGCCCTCACGCGATGCCCAACCGAAGAGCGACTCCGTCGACGACGGCCAGGACGCCAACGCGCACGAGACGAGCCGGGGCGCCACCGCGATGCCGAAGGACGGCGACGAGCTGGCGTTCCTCGAGGCGGCGTCCCTCGCCGACCCGCGCCCTCGCCCCCCCAGGCGCCTCAGGTCCGCGGCGTACTGGGAGCAGAATGCCGCCGCAATCGCCGCCAAGTGGCCCGCGCGTTCGCCTTGGGAGCCGGGCGTGAGGCCGCGCCGCCCGTACCTCGACGAAGGTCATTGCCCAGCAGAGTACCCCCAACCCAGCGCGAAGTCCCCGAGCTGGCCAGTCGGCCACGCGCAGAGGTGGGGTGGGGGGGAGTGGGGAGGGCTTCTCAGAAGCAGCTTCCTTTAATGAGCCTCCTCCTCTCCTTCCGCCTCCTTGTGCGCACCGCCAGCCCAGGTTGGCTGGGCATCCCCGGACATGGTAACAACTCGGATGGAACCCGCACGCCCCCCAACCCGAAATCTTGGGCTTCGGGTTGAGTAAGTGAGGTAGTAGACCTCGGAGTTTTTGTTCGTCTTGGATTGAACGCGTATCGACGATCAGCACCCCCCAAGAAGGCTCAACAGCGCCAAATAGCGCCCCAGAGCGTCCGGTAGCGCCGACCAGCGCTAACAAAAATCCAGTCTGTAGCGCCAGGCGAGGAAGATGCACCGTGTCCGCCCTTGCGCGGGATCGGTTGCGCCTGTGGGTGCGATGTGGACCACCAGAAGCTTCTGTGAGCTGCTTTCTAAGGTTTCGAGAAGGGGATCGACTACATAATCGATCTGCCCCAACATGTTTTTCTCGTCGAATCTGCGGAGGAAAATAGCTCGAGGTCTCAGCATATCTACAACACACATCCGCGCATTCGTCGTACACCTTCGATGTGGGAGAAATCCATTCTTCGGGGGCAGACAGATTAGTTCTGTGGTCGATCCCCCACTCGAAGGTTGGAGCGGTCAGGCCGGCAGCCGCGAAGGGCACCGCCTCGGGCCGGCGGCGCCCGCGGCGCCCGCGGCGCCGGCGGCGGTGTGCACCGAGGGCGACGGCGCGGTGCGCAGCCCCGGGAGCTTGGCGGGCGCCATCTCGATGGCGCTTCGCCGCAAGGGGCGCGGGCCTCCCGCGCCGCCGGGGTCGCCCTCGGCGGCGCACGTGGCAGCGCCGAACGTGCGCGGCTGAGCTCGAGCAGACGTCGGCGGTGAGTCCAGGGGGAGGAGGAGGAGGAGGTGGAGGAGGAGGTGGAGGTGGAGGAGGAGGAGGTGGAGGAGGAGGAGGAGGAGGAGGAGGGGGAGGAGGAGGAGGAGGAGGGAGGAGGAGGAGGAGGAGGAGGAGGAGGAGAGGAGGAGGAGGAGGAGCAGGAGGAGGAGGAGGAGGAGGGGGAGGGGGGGGGAGGGGGGGGGGGGAGAGGGGGGGGAGGGGGAGGGGGAGGGGGAGGAGGAAGAGGAGAAGGAGGAGGAGGAGGAGGAGGAGGAGGAGGAGGCGGAGGAGGAGGAGGAGGAGGAGGAGGAGGAGGAGGAGGAGCGGAGGAGGGGGGGGAGGATGAGGAGGAGGAGGAGGAGGAGGAGGAGAAACACCACATTAGCACAAACTGTCGATGGCTCGCGCGGGTTTCTCGGATCTGCGCCGGGCCGCCCGGGCGGCGCCTCCAGCGCCGCCTCCTGGCGCGCTTCGCTTTTCAGGGAGGGGGCCAAGCGCCGATCCAAGAGAGTCCTCGGAACGCGACCCAGCGGCAGTGGATCTGGTCATATTCTGGCGGCGTGCCTTTGGGCGTCCCAGTCCAGGGCGAGGCCGTGCACCTCGTGTCATCTATGCCCTCATCTGGGCCGGCTGCGGCCCAGCCGATCTCACAGGCCCAGGGCCGACGGGCCAAAAGGATTGTCGCAGCACCCAGAATCTGCGGAGCCGTCGCGGACGTGGTCCTGGGGTAATCCTGGCACGATGTATCAATGATCAGGGGGACCCATAGGGGGGGAATGGGCATAGGGGTGATGCATCGACTACCAATCGCCCAGGAACGTGCGGATTCACTGTCGGGGGCCTATCGCCGATCTATCGGCGATGTATCGCTAGTCGAACGTTTCTGGCTGAGACCGCCCTGTTTTAGCACATCGGGTTTCTGTCCAACATTTCCGTGCGAATCCCATCGGGGCTTCATCTTGGAGCCGTCTTGGAGGCCTCTTGTGCCGTTTTGGAGGCCTCCGTGGCCGTCTCGGGGCCCTCTTGGGCCTTTTGGGGGGTCCCTTGGGGCCGTTTTGGGGAGATCTTGGGGGCCTCTCGGGCCGCCTTGGGGCGTCGGAGGTTTCGGAGCCTTTTTGGGCTGTCTTAGGGGCCATCTTGGGCGTCTCCGGGTAATGTTTGGGCGTTTCGGTGCTTTCGTGTACCGTCTCGGGGGCCTCTTGAGGCCCTCTCGATCTGTCTTGGGGCCCGTCTTGGGCCCGAAGCAGTCGCACGACAAACCGCGCGAAGCCCAGGAAAACCGCGGCAAACCCCACGAGATTTGGCAATTTGGGGTCAGGTCAGACCATTCGAGGGCAGCACGTTGCAACAGTTGCAATGTGGCTGCAACCCCACTTGCAAGGCACCTGCAGCTGAACGTCCGCCTGGCTGCTCCAATATGGGTCCGCGGTACATTCAGATTTGTATCAGTTGTAGAAGAGACCAGTTAATGACTCCTCAGAAGTGGGGACGGCTCAAGGGATTGGGCAAGAGACCAGAGGACACGCCCAGTCCGTGCCTCGCGGCACGGCGGCGGATTTCTGCGGAAATGGATCGGTGGAAAGCTTCTAGCCTTGCCAAGATAGCCCACGCAGCGCGTTCTTAACTAGCGCTGTACTACGAGCTATAGGTCTGGGATATTCGGCAACATAGTGGCCTTCGGCGTTCAAGCTTACCGAATGTATTCTAAGCGTCACAAATTTAATTTATACACCTGTGCGAATCAGGCCAAACCCCCCGAGATGCATGGAATGCCCGTGACGAATCGAGCATAGGAGACATTGTCAAAGTGGCAGAGTCGTGCCACCCCAACTATGTACACATGACTGTACTTCAAAAGCGTCGCCTCGACACGGTTGGTGTTAGCTGAGCGCCAAAACAAGTCGGAGCGAAAATTTGATTTCAAGTTCACACCATCATCCACATCGTCATCGTCATCACCGCAATTACCCCAACTAAGCAGCACTACATACTGATGTTTTCTTGCGGCACAGATCATACCTTGTACAATTCATAATTTGCGTTTCCAGGTTATGTATTTCACCGCATACTCGATATTGTTTTAAAGGGGTGTACATGTATTCGTTTCTTTCACGTGTTCTTAAGATCGGATGGCTTGGGTCGTGTCATCTGTGCCCTCCTCTCGGTCGGCTGCGGCCCTGGCGGCACCACGGGCCCGAACGACTGTCGCAGCACCGCGAATATGCGGAGCCGTCGCGGACGTGGTCCTGGGGTAATTCTGGCACGACGGCTCAATGATCAGGGGGAGCCACAGGGGGGGATGGGCATAGGGTGGGATGCATCGACCCCCAATCGCCAATTGATCGCCGATGAGGGGCCCGATGGCCCCACCCCGCCCAGCAACGTGCGGAGTCGCTATCGGGGGCTTAATGTCGATCTATCGGCGTTGTGTCGCCGATCTCAGGTCGACGTGTCCCCCCCCCCAATATGCCAGCCCCCCCGCCTATCGTTGCCCCTCAATTAACGACGCCGCCTGCCTCGCGCGCCAGGCGCACGGCGCGCATGGTTGCCCCTGGAGATTGTCGGATGAAAGGATTCGGGATGACCCGAAGGTTTTGTGCCAACCACTCCACTGAACCTGCTGCACTGCACGACTTGGTTCCTTGTGGAAGGTTTCTTGTAGTTTGGCCTCCATCATGTTGGGCATAGTCCCGATGTGCAAACGATGTGCCGTCCAGGCACGGTGCGCGGCCCAGGCGCGGCTCGTATTTTTTGCAGCACGATTCAAGGCTACGATATGCCAGAGGTTCGGCGCCTCACGCGTTAGGACGTGAGGCTGTGGTTCTTGCCGCTGTGTTGGGTTTGGTGCCGTCTAGGCACGGTGCCGTTTAGGCACAGTTAGGGGGCCACATGCGAACCCTACCCTTACCCCCCACGATTTTTGAGGAGGAGGGTGGGGTTCACTTCGCTCGGGAGTTCCCGAACGAAGTGAACCCCACCCCACCCCCCTGAGAAATCGTGGGGGATAGGGGTAGGGATCGCATGTGCCCCCCTAATATGGTTCCCGCCCGCCCAGTCGGATATCCAGCTGCCTGCGGCAGGTTTCCGCCACCGTGCCAGGGCAGTATTCGGTGTGGCAGCGCGTCGAGTGGCGCCCAGAAGGCTGCAAGGGGAGACCAATGTCAGGAAGCACCTTGCTTGCCTCCAGGCTATGTACGCAGCTCCCCGCTCCCTGATTCGATAGCGTGTAACACGATTGTTGCTGTGGTTGGAAATCCAGGTTGGTTATGACACGCGTCCGCTGATATAAAAACAGATCAGCGCGATGGGAAGGGATGGGAAGGGGGGACAAAGAAGGTACCCTGGGCTTCTTGGATTTTGATGGTTTTGCTATGGAAAGCGTGACGTTCCCACAACAACAATCAGTGTGCGTCCTGCGGTCTCAGGGTTGGGTTTCTTGTGGTAGGTTTCTTGTGAACTGGCCCCCCACTGTAATTAGTGATACTGTCTTGAGGGGCTCTCGTGGGGCCGACCTGCACCTTCTTGAAGCCTTCCGTCGGGTCCTATAGGGGCGGTCGTAAAAAGGGGACAGGGGAAGCGACAGGGGAAGAAAGCCAGAGGGAAGGCGACAGGGGAAGCGAAAGGGGGGCCAGCTGCAGCTGAACCAGCGAAGAAACCAGCTGGAGCCCTGCCCATCGACGGCACGACTGGCAAAGAGGGCGACGACGAGGGCCCCCCCTTGCAAGGTGCTGCAGACGGCCGACCACGACGAGACGATCTAGAGGCATACCAGCGAGATCCCCGCAGCAGCGAGGATGACCTTCGCGATTGGGCGCAAGGGCTACGCGTTGGAGACGAAGACAGCCCCGAAGATCCAGGTCGCGCTGAACAAGCGCGTCTTCCATGTCGCGAACATGAACCTGGATGGTTTCGCATTGGCGCAGCAATCGCATTTAGATCGGCTGGCCGAGAAGAGCGCCAATGCTCGGCAGGGTCTCGGCCGCCTGCGCGACGACGCAGTTGCCGCCTTCGACGCTGCGGCGGCGGCCAAGACGAACGCGGGCAGTATCAACGTTGAGCCCTGCGCCCCGGAACCGCAGGAGTCGCGAGGCTCTGGCAGAAAGAAGCCTGCCGACACAAACAAACAGCCATTGGGCTTTTCTTGCGGCCGTCCTCAGTTCAAGGGCTCGATCGAGCTCCCCCACTGATTCCCTGACGAGTTTCCGGGGATTTCCCGGCCGCGGCTATGCCCAACAGCACGTCTAACTGCCTGCGTCTCCCAGCCTCTCTGACAGGGTTTTTTCTTTTCACAACATATAAATATAGCCGCGCGGATCATTGATCTAACGCCTATCTTTATCAGGGTTTGACTGCTAGATATGCATGAGATTCGGGCCCAGATTGGCGCCCGACGCTCTGGAGTACCCTCGCCATCCCCTCTCAAATCCCCATCCGTGTCCTCATGTCCCCCCCCCCCCCCCCCATCGCAATCCCCATCCTATTCTTAACTGTCATCATAGATTCAAGATTCAAGGCTCGGTCAGTGACTGAAGTGCCTGAAGCCAGCAAGTTGATCTAAGGTGGGGCCGAAGCTCGCCCTCGACGCGCCCCCACATGCGGCTGCCGAGGCGAAGGCCTTGCTCGAGGGCGACGGGAGAGTTGTCGGCACGGCGGGCTCAGTGAGGGCGTTCAGCGCATTGAGCTCTATTTTGAAGTCGCAGTTCCCTGCGGAGCATTCGGAGTGCGCCGACCTCGCCTCGGACGAAGAACGGCGCTCTCGGCTCGCCAGCTTCATGCTGGGCCCAGCGACGGGCGGGGGCGCGTGCAAGAGCGCGGTTTCCATCGAGTCGGCCTCTTCCGAGAAGATGAAGAACATCGGGTGGGCCTTGGGGGCCCGCGTTGGCCCGCCATGCCCGGGCAGCCCTGAGCGCGCCAAGTGGGCTGCGCAGGGTTGCGTCAGCAAGCCCCGCCGCCAGCCGAAGCTAGCGGAGAAAAGGCGTGCTCGAGCACGAGGTCACCTTGTCAGGGGAGGAGCACCGTCGAGCCAGGGGCACGACGGCAGAGGCCATCGTCGAGGCGAAGCCCGCCGCGGCTGAGGGGGCGCAGGTGGCCGAGCCCACGCGAGGACCCGCAGCCAAGAGAGGCCACCGCCATGGGCCTCCAGGGCGTCGGGGAGGCCAGCCAGCCGCGATCGCGGACGCCGATCTTACTCCAGGTGGTAAGGCTTTCACGGTTTCATAGACCACGTTTGAGGACCAGTGCATCAAGACCAAGCAGCAGGCCGACAGGATGCAGCTGGAGCTCAACGACGTTTAGATGGTGGAGAACACGATGCAAAACAAGGCGCGGCCGGCGACCGCCCTCGAGTGCCCCCAGGATCAGACCGCGACGCAGAATGACGAGGCGCAACGGATGTTTGAGGAGTTCGTGTATGCCGAGGCCTACGGCCTCGAGCCCAACGGGAAGCGCGACGAGGGCGCGGGGGCTCTCATGGACACTGCGACTACCGTCGAGCAGAGCTACCAGCACTGCAAGAAGACGGTGCTGGCCGACTTCGCACGATGGTCTAGAGAGTTGGTTGGTTCTGGATGGCAAGCTGAAGTTCGGGGTGTGCGAATGCTTGTCGTCATTCATGCTTAAGAGCACGCCGTGGGCATGCCTGTGGGGGCCGTTTCTAGCTGCACGGGCGCGGCCAAGACAGTGGGACCAATGACAGGTCCATCATCGTGCTCATCATTCGTGCATCTGTCCATCCAGAGCATCGCCTCAGATGG